CCGAGAGTGTACGAAGAGAGCACTCGCCATCCAAATAGAAATTGGCGACAGGAATGGAGAAGCAACAAGCCACGGAGACCTAGGAGCATTGTTCTAATCGCTTGGTCAATATGACAAGGCCAGAGAATATACGGAGAAAGCACTCGCTATCAAAATAGAAATTGGCGACAGGAATGGAGAAGCAAGAAGCCACGGAAACCTAGGAGCATTGTTCCGATCGCTTGGTCAATATCAGAAGGCCCGAGAATATACGGAGAGAGCACTCGCTATTCAAATAGAAATTGGCGACAGGAATGGAGAGGCAATAAGCTACGGAAACCTAGGAACAGTATTCCAATCGCTTGGTCAATATGACAAGGGCCGAAAGTATACGGAGATAGTACTCGCTTTCGAAATAGAAATTGGCAACAGGAATGGAGAAGTAACAAGCCACGGAGACCTGGGAGCATTTTTCTAATCGCTTGGTCAAAATGACAAGGCCAGAGAACATACGGAAAAAGCACTTGCTATCCACCAAATAGAAATTGGCGACAGGACTGGAGAGGCAACAAGCCACGGAATCCTAGGAGAATTATTCCAATCGTTTGGTCAATATGAGAAGGTCCGAGAATATACAGAGAGAGCACTTGCTATTCAAATACAAATTGGCGACAGGTATGGAGAAACAACAAGCTACGGATACCTAGGAGCACTGTTTCAATCACTTGGTTAATATGAAAAGGCCCGAGAATATACAGAGAAAGCACTTGCCATCAAAATAGAAATTGGGGACAGGAATGGAGAAGCAAAATGCTACGATCACCTAGGAATATTGTTCCGATCGCTTGTTCAATATGAGAAGGCCCGAGAATACCAGGAGAAAGCACTTGCTATCCAAATAGAAATTGGCGACAGGAATGGAGAAGCAACATGCTACAGAAACCTAGGAGCACTGTTCCAATCGCTTGGTCAGTATGATAAGGCCAGAGAATCTCAGGAGAAGCCACTCGCTATCAAAATAGAAATTGGCGACTGGAATGGAGAGGCAACAAGCTATCGCAACCCAGGAACATTGTTCAAAAGGCTTGGTCAATATGAGAAGGCCCGAGAATATAAGGAGAGAGCACTCGCTATCCAAATAGAAATTGGCGACAGGAATGGAGAAGCAACAACCTACAGAGAACTAGGAGCATTGTTCCAATCGCTTGGTCAACATGATAAGGCCCGAGAATATCAGGAGAAAGCACTCGCTATTCAAATAGAAATTGGCGACAGGGATGGAGAAGCAACATGCTGCGTAAGCCTAGGAACATTGTTCCAACCGCTTGGTCAATATGACAAGGGCCGAAAGTATACGGAGAGAGCACTCGCTATCGAAATAGAAATTGGCAACAGGAATGGAGAAGTAACAAGCCACGGAGACCTGGGAGCATTGTTCTAATCGCTTGGTCAATATGACAAGGCCAGAGAACATACGGAAAAAAGCACTTGCTATCCAAATAGAAATTGGCGACAGGAATGGAGAGGCAACAAGCCACGGAATCCTAGGAGAATTAATCCAATCGTTTGGTCAATACGAGAAGGCCCAAGAGTATACGGAGAGAGCACTTGCCATTCAAATAGAAATTGGCGACAGGTATGGAGAAACAACAAGCTACGGATACCTAGGAGCACTGTTTCAAGCTCTTGGTCAATATGAAAAGGCCCGAGAATATACAGAGAAAGCACTTGCCATCAAAATAGAAATTGGGGACAGGAATGAAGAAGCAAAATGCTACGAACACCTAGGAATACGGTTCCAATCGCTTGTTCAATATGAGAAGGCCCGAGAATACCAGGAGAAAGCACTTGCTATCCAAATAGAAATTGGCGACAGGAATGGAGAAGCATCAATCTACGCAAACCTAGGAGGATTGTTCCGATCACTTTATCAATATGAGAAGGCCCGAAAATATACGGAGAAAGCACTCGCTATCCAAATAGAAATTGGCGACAGGAAAGGAGAAGCAACAAGCTACGGAAACATAGGAAAATTGTTCGGATTTCTCGGTAAATATGAGAAGGCCCGAGAATATCAGGGGAAAGCACTCGCTATCAAAATAGAAATTGGCGACAAGGGTGGAGAAGCAACAAGCTACGGAAACCTAGGAGCATTGTTCGGAACGCTTGGTCAATATCACACGGCTAAAGTGTACATGGAGCAAAGTTTACGCATCCACAAGAGAATTGGTAACAGTAACGGACAGGCAATTGCTTATAGAGCCCTTACAGCTTTCTCTCTCTCGCTCGGCAAGTTTGCAAGGGCTGACGACTATCTAAAAATGGCAATGGCAATATGAGTGGTTACCGGTAAGAGAAGAGGAGAGGCTGTAGATTATATTCACCTCGGGATCATTTCACATCGGTGTGGTTTATATGAAAGGACGCAAGAATACTACGAGAAATCATTTGCAATTAACATGGAGATCGGTGACAGGCAAGGAGTAGGAGTGAACTACTCAAATTTAGGATTGTGTTTCCAGTCCCTCGGTAAGTATGATATGGCCGAAGAATAACTCAATAAGGCTCTTCTATTAAGCATGGAGATTGGACACAACTTGGACGAGTTTCAATGCCTTTGTAGTCTAGCGGTGTCAAAGGTGTCACAATCTCATCTTGAAGAAGCCCCTTCGTATCTTTTTCAAAGCATCGAAAATTTCGACACTTTGCGAGGTTCTCTTAAAGACAACGATCAGTTTGAAATTTCCCTTTTAGAGAGGCACGGCACCTTTCCTTACAAGTTGTTCAGCAGGTTGCTTTCTTCCACCGGAAAGTCACAAGAA